GGGTTAGGTTTCCATAAATTCGTAGAGTGAAATGGACATCGCCAATGGATTTGGAGTTCATGGCAATGGTTTGTAGCATCCATTTCTTTTTAGCCTGACTTATCTACATGTCCTTGTGAAATACATGGGAAAAAATCATTGCCGGGAAAACCCACTTAGGGTTAGGGTTAGGTTTCCCTAAATTTGTAGAGAGAAATGGACATCACCAATGGATTCGGAGCACGTGGCATTGGTTAGGAGAGTTCATTTCTTTTTAGCCTGTCTTATCTACATTTTCTGGTGAAATGCATGGGAAAATCCCATTGGCGGGAAAACCTACTTAGGGTTAGGGTTGGTTTTTCATAAATTCAGAGAGTGAAATGTACATCACCAAGGATTTGCAGCTCATGGCCATTGTTAGGAGCATGCATTAAATTTTAGCCTGCCTTATCTAAATTTCGTGGTGAAATACATGGGAAAATCTAATTTGCGGGAAATCCCTCTTAGGTTTAGGGTTAGGTTTCCGTAAATTTGTAGAGCGAAATGGACATCCCCAATGGATTTGGAGTGCATGGCAATGGTTATGATCTTCCATTTCTTTTTAGCCTGCCTTATCTACATGTCCTGGTAAAATACATGGGAAAATCCCATTCGCCGGAAAACCCTCTTAGAGTTAGGGTTGGTTTCCATAAATTCATTGCGCAAAATGGACATCAACAGTGGATTGACAGGGAATGGCAATGGTTATGAGCTTGCATTTCTTTTTAACGTATCTTATCTACATCTCCTGCTGAAATACATGGGAACATCCCATTGGCGGATTTCGGTTAGGTTTCCATAAATTCGGAGAGTGAAATGGTCATCATCAATGGATTTGGAGTGCATGGCAAAGGTTTGTAGCATGCATTTCTTTTTAGCCTGACTATTCTACATGTCCTTGTGAAATACATGGGAAAAAAACATTGCTGGGAAAACACTCTTAGGGTTAGGGTTAGGTTTCCCTAAATTTGTGGAGCGAAGTGGACATCACCAATAGATTTGGAGCACATGGCAATGGTTAGAAGCATGTATTTCTTTTTAGCCTTTCTTATCTACATTTCCTAGTGAAATGCATGGGAAAATCCCTTTGGCGGAAAAACCCACTTAGCGTTAGGGTTAGATTTCCGTAAATTTGTAGAGCGAAACGGACATCACCAATGGATTTGGAGCGCATGGCAATGGTTAGGAGTGTGCATTTCTTTCTAGCCTGTCTTATCTACATTTCCTAGCGAAATACATGGGAAAATCCCTTTGGCAGGAAAATCCACTTAGGGTTAGGGTTAGGTTTCCGTAAATTTGTAGAGTGAAATGGACATCACCAATGGATTCAGAGCGCATGGCAATGGTTAGGAGTGTGGATTTCTTTTTAGCCTGCCTTATCTACATGTCCTGGTGAAATACATGGGAATATCCCATTCGCAGGAAAACCCACGTAGGGTTAGGGTTGGGTTCCATAAATTCATTTCACGAAATAGATATCACCAATGGATTTGCAGAGAATGGCAATGATTAGGAGCGTTCATATCTTTTTAGCCTGCCTTTTCTACGTATCCTAGTGAAATGTATGGGAAAATCCCATTGGCGGGAAACCCCACTTAGGGTTAGGGTTAGGTTTCCCTAAATTCGTAGAGGGAAATGGACATCACCAATGGATGTGGAGAGCATGGCAATGGTTATGATCATGCATTTCTTTTTAGCCTGCCTGATCTACATGTCCTGGTGAAATACATGGGAAAATTCCATTGGCGGGAAAACCCACTTAGGGTTAGGGTTAGATTTCCATAAATTCGTAGAGTGAAATGCACATCAACAATGGATTTAGGAGTGCATGGCAATGGTTAGGAGCATTCATGTCTTTTTAGCCTTCCTTATCTACATTTCCTAGTGAAATGCATGGGAAAATCCCATTGGCAAGAAAACACACTTAGGGTTAGAGTTAGGCTTCCGTAAATTTTTAGAACAAAATGGACATCACCCATGGATTTGGAGCACATGGCAATGTTTAGGAGCTTGAATTTCTTTTTAGCATGCCTTATTTACATTTAATAGTGAAATACATGGGAAAATACCATTGGAGGGAAAACCCACTTAGGGTTAGAGTTAGGTTTCCGTAAATTTGTAGAGCGAAATGGACATCACCAATCGATTCAGAGAATATGGCAATGGTTAGGAGCATACATTTCTTTTTCACCTGCCTTATCTAAATTTCGTGGTGAAATACATGGGAAAAACTATTGCGGGGAAAACCCACTTAGGGTTAGGGTTAGGTTTCTGTAAATTCGTAGAGCGAAATGGACATCACCAATGGATTTGGAGAGCATGGCAATGGTGATGATCACGCATTTCTTTTTAGCCTTTCTCATCTACATGTCGTGGTGAAATACATGGGAAAATCCCATTCGCGGGAAAACCCACTTAGGGTTAGGTTTAGGTTTCTGTAAATTCATAGAGCAAGATGGACATCACCGATGGATTCGGAGCACGTGGCAGTGGTTAGGAGAGTTCAATTCTTTTTAGCCTGCCTTATCTACATTTTCTGGTGAAATACATGGGAAAATCCCATTGGCGGGAAAACCCACTTCGATTTAGGGTTGGTGTTCCATAAATTCATAGAGCGAAATGGACATCACCAATGGATTCGCAGCGCATGACAATTGTTAGGAGCATGCATTACATTTTAGCCTGCCTTATCTAAATTTCCTGGTGAAATGCATAGGAAAATACCATTGGCGGGAAAACCCACTTAGCGTTTGGGTTAGGTTTCCATAAATTCGTATAGTGAAATGGACATCATCAATGGATTTGTAGAGTGTGGCAATGGTTAGGAGCGTTCATTTCTTTTTAGCCTGCCTTATCTACATTTCCTGGTGAAATACATGGGAACATACCTTTGGCGGGAAAACCCACTTAGGGTTAGGGTTAGGCTTCTGTTAATTCGCAGAGTGAAATGGACATCACCAACAGATTTGGAGCACATGGCAATGGTTAGGAGCATGCATTTCTTTTTCGCCTGCCTTATCTACATTTCCTGTTGAAATACAAGGGAAAAATCTATTGCCGCGAAAACACACTTAGGGTTAGGTTTGTTTTCCATAAATTCATTGCGTGAAATGGACATCACCAATGAATTCACAGGGAATGGCAATGGTTAGGGGTGTGCATTACTTTTTAGCCTGCCTTATCTACATTCTCTGGTGAAATACATGGGAAAATACCATTGGCGGGAAAACCCACTTAGAGTTAGGATTAGGTTTCTGTAAATTTGTAGAGCGAGATGGACATCACCAATGGATTCGGAGCACGTGGCAAAGGTTAGGAGAGTTCATTTCTTTTTAGCCTGCCTTATCTACATTTTCTGGTGAAATACATGGGAAAATCGCATTGGCGGGAAAACACACTTAGGGTTAGGGTTGGTTTCCATAAATTCATTGCGCAAAAAGGACATCACCAATGGATTCACAGGGAATGGCAATGGTTAGTAGCGTGCATCTCTTTTTAGCCTGCCTTATCTACATTATCTGGTGAAATACATGGGAAAATACATTTTGCGGGAAAAACCACTTAGGGTTAGGTTTCTGTAAATTTGTAGAGCGAGATGGACATCACCAATGGATTCGGAGCACGTGGCAATGGTTAGGAGAGTTCATTTCTTTTTAGCCTGCCTTATCTACATTTCCTGTTGAAATACATGGGAAAAATCCATTGCCGCGAAAACACACTTAGGGTTAGGTTTGGTTTCCATAAATTCATTGCACGAAATGGACATCACCAATGAATTCACAGGGAATGGCAATGGTTAGGGGTGTGCATTACTTTTTAGCCTGCCTTATCTAAAGTTCCTGGTGAAATACATGGGAATATACCATTGGCGGGAAAACCCACTTAGTGTTTGGTTGGTTTCCATAAATTTATTGTGCGAAATGGACATCACCAATGGATTCACATGGAATGGCAATGGTTAGGAGCGTTCATTTCTTTTTATCCTGCCTTATCTATATTTCCTAGTGAAACGCATGGGAAAATCCCATTGCCGGGAAAACACACTTAGGGTTAGGGTTGGTTTCCATAAATTCATTGCGCAAAATGGACATCACCAATGGATTCATAGGGAATGGAAATGGTTAGTAGCGTGCACCTCTTTTTAGCCTGCCTTATCTACATTCTCTTGTGAAATACATGGGAAAATCCTATTGGCGGGAAAACCAACTTAGGGTTTGGGTTGGTTTCCATAAATTCATTGTGCGAAATAGACATCACCAATGGATTCACATGGAATGGCAGTGGTTAGGAGCGTTCATTTCTTTTTAGCCTACCTTATCTACATTTCCTGCTGATATACATGGGGAAATACCGTTGGCGGGAAAACCCACCTAGGGTTAGGGTTAGGTTGCCATAAATTCATAGAGCGAAGTGGACATCACCAATAGATTCGCAGCGCATGGCAATGGTTAGGAGCATGCATTACATTTTAGCCTGCCTTATCTAAATTTCCTGGTGAAATGCATAGGAAAATCCCATTGGCGAGAAAACCCACTTAGCATTTGGGTTAGGTTTCCATAAATTCGTATAGTGAAATGGACATCATCAATGGATTTGTAGAGTTTGGCAATGGTTAGGAGCGTTCATTTCAATTTAGCCTGCCTTATCTACATTTCCTGGTGAAATACATGGGAAAATCCTATTGGCGGGAAAACCAACTTAGGGTTTGGTTTCCATAAATCATGAGATGCGAAATAGATATCACCAATGGATCACAGAGGACTGGCAAGGTTAGGAACATTCATTTCATTTTAGCCCTGCCTTATCTACATTTCCTAGTGAAAACGGCATGGAAAATCCCATTACCGCGGAAAACACAATTATGGTTAGGTTTGGTTTCACATAATTTCATTGCCGTGGAAATGGACATCACAATGAATTTCACAGGGGAATGGCAATGGTTAGGGTGTGTCGCATTACTTTGTAGCCTTTCCTTCCAATCTAATTTCCTGGTGAAATACATGGGAATATACCATTGGCGGGAAAACCCACTTAGTGTTTGGTTGGTTTCCATAAATTTATTGTGCGAAATGGACATCACCAATAGATTGACATGGAATGGCAATGGTTAGGAGCGTTCATTTCTTTTTATCCTGCCTTATCTACATTTCCTATGTGAAAACGAATGCGGAAAATCCCACATTGCCGGGAAAAACACACTTAGGGTTAGAGTTGCGTTTCCATAAATTCATGCGCAAAAAATGGACATCACCAATGGATCATAGGAAGGAAATGGTTAAGTAGCGCACTCTTTTTAGCCTGACCTATGATACATTCTCTTGGAAATACATGGGAAAATCCTATTGGCGGGGAAAACCAACTTAGGGTTTGGGTTGGTTCCATAAATTTCATTGGCGAAATAGACATCACCAATGGAGTCACCGGAAGGGCATATGGTTAGGGAGCGTTTCATTTCTTTAGCCTACCCTTATCTACAATTTCGACTGATAGACATGGTGGAAATTACGTTGGCGGGAAAACCCACCTAGGGTTAGGGTTAGGTTGCCATAAATTCATAGAGCGAAGTGGACATCACCAATAGATTCGCAGCGCATGGCAATGGTTAGGAGCATGCATTACATTTTAGCCTGCCTTATCTAAATTTCCTGGTGAAATGCATAGGAAAATCCCATTGGCGAGAAAACCCACTTAGCATTTGGGTTAGGTTTCCATAAATTCGTATAGTGAAATGGACATCATCAATGGATTTGTCGAGTTTGGCAATGGTTAGGAGCGTTCATTTCAATA